AGGGAGCCCAATGATCTAAGAACTAATATACATGTTTTGAATTCATACCCACCTTAAAACTTAAGTCTATATAGGTGGTAAACCCATTAACAGTATTTTAAGACATTTTTAACTTATTTTTTTCTTCAATGTGAGATTTTCACACATGCAATACCCAACTAATGTTAAAATAGATGTGTGGAAAAAAAAAATCAATAAAATTATTAATGATTAGTTATATTTGTCAAATCGCAGAAATAGTATTAATAGGAGATAAATTAACAAAAAATTCACTTACATGTTTTGGACATATTTATAAAAGACCTAATAATATACCATTAAAAATGAGCGATTTGATACATATCGATGATAATGCAAGAGTTAAAGAAAGATCTAAAATAATTGTGAACAAAATAGTTAAAAAAAGATATTGCAACTTATACTCTATCAAAACATATGGTTGTTAATACAACATAAAGGAAAAACAACATTCATGTAGTTAACTTCAAATAGTTGAGATTAAATTTTTGTTGAGTTGAGTTTAGTAGAGTATGTAAGAGAACTAGTAATTGCCTCCGTAAGAGAACTAGTAATTGTCTGTGTCTGAAGGCACTATGTTACTCATAAAAAACTGTAAATATTTTTTCATAAATAAATACAAAATATAATACAATTTTAACAATACAACGACCAAATTGATATTGTTCAACCTGTATGCAGAACATATAAAATCAAACATTTATATAATAAAAGTGACGCTATAACTATTGCAACATATTAAATTCAAAAATTAGATAAAATATAATTATTATCGATCAAACATCCACAATTTTAATATTTTTAATAAAATTTATCTCAAATTTCAAGAAATATAACTATTTATTTTTCTATAGGTTTCTACTTAAAATTCACAATATTATCTCCGCATCATTTTTTGAATGTGAGTTCGTGTAACTTTTATGAGAAAAACATCCAAAAGTTTCACATGAATTCTCGTAAATATAAAAAATTTTCGTTGATAAACTAAAATCATTTTCTATTTGAGTTTAACTTAAATATTCGTAAAATTCAATCGAATTTAAGTTTGGGTGGAGCTATTCCCACCGCAACAATTCTCCAATTTCACCCCCATTTAATTTTTCATTATCAAATTATTAAGCTCACTCCTTCCATACCCACGTCATTAATAACTAAATTCACCTCATACTACGTACACCCCATTAGTAAAAGATATAATAGCTTATGGTCTATCAAAACATATGACTTTTAATAGAGCATAATGGAGAAACACCATTCATGTAATTAACCTCAAATAATTGGGATTAAGTCTTTATTGAGTTGAGTTTAGTAGAGTATATACTTGTTAAGGCTCCAAATATATTTTTTTCATATTTATACCACAATGTAATTAATTTTTCTTTTATATGTAACAATTATAATTATTATAAATCTCACATATTACTATTAAAATAAAATCTAAACGAGTCACAAGTCCGATCACAGTTACAATAATGATTTTCAAAAAAATTAAAATAAGAGCAGAATAAAAAAATACCCAAGTGAGAGACAAAAGAAGAGTAGTAAAATACAACCTTTGGAAGGGCAAATTAGTCAATGTAAATGGGTGGGTGAGGGGTGAGAGCCGTGAGGATTAAGCGGAAGCGAAAGGGACCCGACTGAAATGCATGGAGTGCATGCATGACTGGCAGTGCAACGTTTCACGTGGATGACGTCATAGAAATGCTCTCCACTTTAATAACTTGAAACGCTCTAGTTGACGTCAACCTGAACATGTTACATGTTCCACTCATTTCGTGAAATTGCGTGTCACCCTCTAACTAACGATTTGTTTAGTCTACGTCCACCCTTAACTCGATTTTATATTCAAATTAAAATTAATAACAACTATTGATATTTACATATTTAAAATATATTAATATTAAAGAATTATTTATTTATTTCGAATAAAAAGTTACAATTATGTACCAAAAAAAGATAACACATCCTACTCAATTTTTGATCAAATCTTTCAACCGAAAAACTATTAGTCACTTTTCAATAAAGACCATTCAGTTCTAGTTCTAGTGAGGGACTTCAAAGGTAAAATGAATTACAATAATAACAAAGGAAGAATCGTTAAACTTTAACATATATTTATAATTACAAAGTTCTCTATAAATATAAATCGGTGTAAATTTCTCTATCCATAATAACCATGCTCCTCCAACCATGTTAAATGAATTATTATTAAATATCAAGAAATAACATATTAAAAACAAAGAATGACTTAGGAGCCAATCAATGGTGCAAAGGCTGATCAAGCATGCTCTTTGAATAGATCACCTGTGATGGATTAAAATTTCCTTGAGATTAGATGCATATCAGCTTACAAAACCTTAATCGATTTAAAAATTGATGTGGCAAATTGGACAACAACTACCAAAAAAATGTTTTCTTCAGTTTTTACAATCAAAATAAAGTAAGATTTATCTGAAAGCGTGAAGAAAATAAGAATTATTACAACTCTTTTCTTTCCGATTTTTTTTTTTTTGTCGGAAGGGAGAGAAAAAAAATGGGCCAAGATCAAGAAAGAATAATCCAATACAAAAAAAAAAAAAAAAAAAAAAAGATGATTCACCTCCTCTTTGTTTGTGTGGCCCAATTAATTACTCAAGATATCACATGTGTTGGAGTATGTCATAAGAATATGAATTGCCATGTAGAAGTCTGATTCATGCAACGACAAAAGGTATAAATAGAAATTCCAAGATGATATAATATGTATAAAAGAATAAGCAAATAAAGAAACCTTGTAACATCTTTTTCTCTATTCAAAGCTCCTCTGTTCAATTGATCAGTTTTCTTAGAACGAAAATGGATTTGAGAGATGTGAGAGAACAATAAGAGATTAGTTGTGTTTATTAGTAATACATGATATAAGAAAATTATTTAAAAAAAAAACTACATATATTTATCGATTAAACAAATTATTTTTTTTGGTCACGGGATATCCAGGTTTATTTATGTTATCTATTCCCTCGAGCTTAACGGCTAATCAAAATAGTTTGACCAAAAGGATTAAATGTGTGAGAATTGACTTGGCAGGATAAAACAGTTAAAGCTAATGGGATAACTTTTTTGTTAAAGATAACCATAAAGATGACACCTAATTTTTTTAGTAATTTAAAAAATTGAAAAATTTAGAAAAATTGAATTGATAGAATGGAGCCCCGAAAGGAATTATAGACAAATCTCTTTAGTACATAGAGATTTGTACAAGAAACTTGATTTAATATTAAATTCAAAAGAGAACAAATTCGATTTTTAAAAGAGAAAAAAAAATACGACAACTAAAATTTGAATAAAAACTTAAATCTCTCATTATTTAAGTAAAAATTCAAATCTGTTTTCATTTCATATAAATTTGAGTAAAAAATTAATACTTATTTTTTTAATCTATTTTTCCTCTAGATTTTAGTAAGAATTAAAAATTCTCTGATATACAATATAAAATCAAATAGGAATAAAAGAAATATTTCCATGTTTATTTTAAGTTGAAGCTTGTGAACTTTAGAGTTAGAACTTAGAACAATCAAGAAAAGAAAATAAATATATCCATCCATAATAAAACTGCACCAACTGAAAATTAACGACATACGCATTGGGGATTTTGAAGACTTTAGATATAACAATGGGTACTGTCTTGTTGCCCTCGATTCAATGCCAACAAGACAATCTTTGCCCTCGATCATGCCCATGATTTACGGGTCATTATGTGCATTTAGAGTTACATATGGCCAATTAATGTTATTAGGACTTAAAAAATAAACTAATATGATCACATAACATAATGATATGTCAAGTAAATAGAATAGAACAATTTTAAACAAAAAAAAGTAATAGAATAGAACGAGCCCAACAATATTGAAACTAAAATTTGAAAAATTTAGAGATAAATCCTCATATATAGACTTATTTAAACTTAAGTCCATCAAAGAAACTTATTCGTTATGAAATCTAATTTTTATCAATTTTACTAGACTATCCCATCTATTTAGAAGTAAAATTAAACTAAAAATTAAAAATAATTTCAATCAAAATTTAAATTGTAATAATTTAGGCCCATAAATAAATCCATAACATTAAAAACCTACAAATTAAAATTTTAAAAAAAAATACTCAAAAGTCATCTCATTTACCCCCACCCATTTTCGACAACACTAGCATATCATTCTTCTATCTCTTTTTCACATAAAAAATTAAAAATAAATTAATTTTTTTAAAAAATTAATAAAAATAATAAAACACCTAATTTAATATTTCTGCTTTATACCTCAAATTTCCTTAAACCACCCATGTGATAAAGTCCTAATAAAGAAGTTCAAGCCCATGTGATGCGTTAGAATCGTATTATTAAGTCAGCAAATTAAGTCAATTTTTTAAATTCCAATTACATTACTCTTGCAAAAAAAAAAAAACTACCCAACAAACTCTGTAGGTCTACACCAAAATAAATGCAGATTTTGAATGACAAATGTTCTATCCACCTAACTCAAACAGATTTTCAACAATGGCCATCAAAAAAGTGTCAATTTCCATTTTTCCGGAACATTTGTTTTCTAATGAATGAAAGACGAGCAAACCCTGAAATCCTGGGGCTGGTGGCCTCATACTAAACCAACCTCACACAGTTTATCAAACGTACAAGTCACAACAATTAAAATGAATTATATATTTCCAAGTTAAATTCAATTCTAACTCCCTGATTTACTATAAAATTGTAAATGTGAGTAATTGTTTTTGCTTTTGCATGAACGAGATTGTTTGAGTCTCACACATAGTAACAGACTCCTCATAAGCTCCCATCACAGAAAAGAAAGACATGTAAACAAGCATACTCACAGCAACAAAGAATGCCACAGGACAGTGTTTGTGTTTATCTTTGTAGATGACAGAGTGAGAGAGGCATAGTTCTGAAGGCTTGAAACTAACATCCTGAAAGTTAAAAAAAAAAAAAAAAACCCTAATTATAGTCATGCAGGTGCTAAACTTACAGCATTACCTCCCCGAGCCATCGAAATAGTAAAGGATTTTGTTTCTCAATTTCCAGGATCTTCAAGGATGCTGGAAACTACATTGATGCGTGGAAAATGAACCTGCTCATCAAGCTCGTCCTGGACCTTGGTCAGCATCTTTAACAATACGGAAAGTTTTGGATCTGCATTTCAAATTTGCTGCTGTTGGTTATTTATTACAATCCTAAACCTTCAGAGAATTTGAGACTAAGAGGAAACAATCAACACTGGGTCAATAGTCTTAGTAAATTGAGAACAAAGGAAAGCCAAATGCATGAGTTTCCTAAAACTGCTGGGTTGGTCAAATGAAAGAAATCTTAATATATTCCACATTGGTTCTGCGACGCAGAACCCATGATACCCAACTCACAATGGAGCAATCTCATCGTTGTGCGTGAGTCTGCCTTCAGTCTTAGTGGGCAAACTGAAAACTGGAATTGAGGAACACATATGAAGGTGTATTGTACGCAATATCCTTGTTTGAGTCCAAATGGAATCATACCACTGAGGAAACCAAACAAAATATCCTAACGTTGAATGCTCTCCCTTGCAATTATCAGAACTTATCTACACAGGTCCCTCAACTCACTTTTTAGAGAGTTCTTGTTTACTTTATTCCCCTGGAATGGATGTGAAAGATGATGATGTTGCTTAAAAGATTAACTACTCACACGCTGTTGCTGGTTCTCAGAATTCACATCAGGACAGTTCAGCAATGCAGTCATGTAGTTGCAGATGTGCTCACAGTTCATTTCCAAGTGGTTTTTTTTTTTTTTT